ATTTTACATACAAATATGTTAAAACTTGTGAAGAGGGTCTTCCCACATTCATGATTTTATGGCTTGAACATTTAATTGCTTAGAATTTTTGTATATATATTTCTCCTGGAGAAAAAAAAAAAGTAGTTACAGTAAAAGTGGTAGAGAAAGAGGGCAGGAGCTTCAATTGCCTGAAGACAGAAGAGTGCCAAGAGGAGGGTCCATTCAACAGATAGTGACCTTAGTGTTCAAAACCTTTGATCTGGGGCAAGTAAACATGCACTCAAATCTTGCACCTTTTTAAAAAAAAAAAAAAGACTGCTTAGAAATGCTGTGTCCAAAAATATACTTCTCGTGTTTCCAATACACAAAGCAAAAGGAGCAAGTTCTCCCCGGGGCGCAGGTGAGCGTGAAGCCCACCTACACCCAGAGGTACAGCTGCTCCCACGCCTGCGTTCCTCGCCCAAACGCTCTCAGCGTACGACAGTGCGGTGTAAGTGAGGAAGAGGCGTCTAATGCAGCACCCCAGCATATAAGGAGACACTTCAGCAACATTGTTTTCAAAGCAATTGGGGTTTTTTAAGTGCTTGAAGGTGAATTCCTCAGGCACCCACAGCTCCAGCAATTCTGCTGTGCCAGAGGAAAACAAAGCAGCAGCTAACCGGCTCTGTACAACTCCTTACCTCATCGCAACAGCAGCATTTTCCAAAAAGACTATCAAATCGAGTGAAAGGATAGAAATCACAGAGGTGTCTGGGACAGAACCGTACAGTTCCTGGCACAACCGAAGTGGCAAGCACCAGTTTCGACTGAAGGACAAGGGCAGCCAACGGGGAAGGAAACAGAAAAGTGGGAATTTCCACCACTTCTCAGTTTCTCGTACCAGACGGCATACATTGGCTACTCTGCTCCTCCAGCGCCTGGCAGAGGGTGAGAAATCCCCGACGGCGCGCTCCCTTCCAGGCCAGCAACGTTCTACAACAGCCCCGGGAAAGAAACCACAGCCACTGCCAACTGCGTGCAACGCTGAAAGCTCCGCATCCGAGAAGGCTGAACTAAGGAGGCGGCTACTAAGGAGGCGGCTACCCAGTCGCTCCCGAAACACGCGGCCTCGCAGGGCCGAGCAACCGGTCTCCCAAAGGTCGCGAAACCCGCACGAGTCGTCCAGGAGCTGCATCTGCGAAAAAGCACGGGCCATCCTAGCGGGTATTGCTGCAACTGTGGAAAAAGTCAAAAAGCTATCATCACAGCTCTCACTGTGATCGCTGAAGAGCTATATCCACATATTTCCTTTGACATTTTCAACAGTTAAGACTTGTATGTATTTATGTAGGTTAAGGGTTTTTTTAATTACTACCAAAAAAAGGAAAAAAGCCTTTTCAGATTTGGGAAGGAAAATCAGGTATTTTAGTAGATCCCAAAGAGTCAAATTATAGCACGGGACTCAACTTGAGACACCCCCCCCTAGGCTTAAGACCTTTTCCCTCTTATCCAGAGGAGTGACCCAGCAGCAGGTAGCTCTCAGCTGTAGCTTCTCATGCTCTCGTCTCCAAGATTAACTGCTTCTCCAGAAAACTAAGCTTCTGTATTCTTGGTGACAAAACACAGTGCTGCTGTAGCAGGAAGATACATTTAATATATTTTTTTTTTTTTTAAGAGAGACAATCAGCAGCCTCTAATACAGGCTGATACAGGCTCCTTCTCATAAAGGAGCTCAGGTAACAACCCTCCCATCACAGAGGAGCCACGTGCAGCACTGCAGACCAAAGGCGGATGTGGGGAACTGATCCGTACCTGAAAAAAGCAGCAATTCCAGGTTCTCTTACGCCATTCTTTAGTCACAACCGGTACTCTGAGAGCCAGCTGCTCACCCAGGCTCAGCTGACAGGCATCAGCTCTTCTTCCAGTTTCTGTGCCCACAGGACAGGTCTTTGGCCAGACTCTGAGAAGTGGAGCTTCTTTACTTATTGCATATTCACCGATAGTCAGCTGCATTCAACAAACTAAAATGGATTGCTTTGCAAAATGACCATTTCCTCTGCTCCAAATTAAAACCACGCTTTGGTTTGGGTCTCGTGTTACTACTGATAAATAGTTTTGCTAAGCTGGTCTCGCTATCTAGTGAGCCCCAGAAGCTGAGCTGCAATACGTTGACCAAGTTAAGGCATTATTTGGAGTTCTGTAACTAACCTGTGGTTGAACCTGTGGTTGCCAACGCACACCTCTCAAAAACCTCTGAAGGACACACTGAGCCCTGAGCCCTTTTGCTACCCCATGGTAAAAACCATCCCAACCATCTCCACTCTAACAGACCACAAAGAAAAAGAAAACAAAGAAGAATTAAAAGGCTTGGTCCTGAATCAAGCCAAAGCAGCCTTATAATCACAACTTTTATAGAAGGTTGGTCACTGAAGAAGGGATCTAGAGGAGGACCAACAGATTTTAACAGAGCAGAGAGAAAAAGGACAGTAGAGCTAACGGAGACAATAGCCACAGCCGTGGCATACTACCAGGCTACAAGCATACACAAGAGCAAGAGAATCTGCTTGACTGTCACCAAATTAACAGCTTTTGAGAACACACAGAGGATACCTCAGTGCCTTTTTTTTCCTAGCATTTCCCTATTTTAGGATGCAATCTTCAAACCTTCAAAGCACCTATCTTGTATTTATCTCAAAAATCAGGCAACGTGAAGACTGACAAATCTATTAAAACATAAGCAACACCACACGAAGAGGAGATAGCAGAGGAATTGGAGACTGATCAGGAATGAAGCCAAAGGAGCTCTAGAGATCAGAACATTCTGAGCACGATTCTCTAGCGGGCACAAAGAGGCCAGCAGTCCAAAGCAGGTTATCAAGACTGTGGAAGGAGCTACCATCCGTTCACAGCAGGGTTCAGTCACATATCTTCCCACTCCTCTTCCCTGCACGTAACTTTGCAAACTTCACGTTCCTGGCAGAACAATCCACAAGATGCACACAACAGCTTCCTATCAGAGAGGCATGCTTTTCTGCAAATGGCTGAAACAGCAATGATCTAAAATAATGACCTGTGGGCAGGCAGGGAAAGATCAAGACATGCATATTTCTTTTTGAGGTTCGTTTGCTGAAGCTGTGCTGCCAATCGGCCTTTGACAACTCTGCCTCACCTGAGAGGCTCAGTCCTGTCTCTGCACACTCAGCTGAGTCCCTGAGCTGTCACCTCTGCCAGCCACCTGCCTTGGACAAGAAGCGGAGCTGTGGCCTGAGTCTCCAGCGCGAAGAGATGGGTGATCTCAAAGCTCACATTCAGATCACTGCTGGAAGAGTGTCAAAAAGCCCTGAGCCTACTTGCCGCCCCCCCCCCAGCACATGCACAGAGTAGCTTTTGTGCAAGCTTAAATGGTGAGATGGTGGAAAAGGTTTGTGATCAGTCACAGGGACTAGCTAGAGCCCCAAGTTAGAGAGGTTGTTATTAATAATTCCTAACTTTGTACAGGTACCAAAGCAAGGATTCTCAGACTGCACAAAACAGCAACCTCATCCTTCCACTTGCAGGTACCAACCCAACACATTCTCCATGTCTAGCTCCCCAGACAGCCAGACACCTCCAACCGTTCAAGCAACCAACCAAAATGTGTTGCAATAGAAAGGTAGGTCTGATTTCCAAATCATTTATGTTACATATATACAAACTTTTTCTTTAAACTACAAATATTTAAAGAAAGTGTTGCAAAAGCATTTGAGTTTTTCCTAAGCTGCTAAACCCAAAAGAGAGCATCGGAGTCCCAGAAGGGCTCCAGTATCCAGATCGAGATGATACGTTATTTCTCTCTCATACAGCATTAGGCAAGACCAGTACGGTATCTGAAAAAATGCACAACAATTTCCCTACCCCTGAAAAACCCCCAGAACACAGCCTTGCAGATGAATATTCACAAGCCCCCACTGTTGGCTGCAACAAAGCTATGGATTGACTGCTGTTTCTAAATATGAGCAGTGAGTAATGTTTTTACATTCATTGTTTGTCTTTCAAAAACAATCTTTTCACATCTTTTTTTTTTAAATCTTATTTTGATATCTCATACTATATTAATTTACTGTGTCTTAAACCAGTACTACTAAAAGACGGCTACAAGGCTATATTCTTTGTCAACGGAACACATACAAAAGGTACACTCTCCTTAACCGAGTACTACAGCCTGCCCTCAAATACTACACCTCCTTTAAGAGAATTCACGTGAGATGCAAGCATCTCATTGCCAGAATTTTTGCCTTGAGAACTGGCTGCTTTAACAGGTGACATACACAAACCAACTCATGGACACTAATGCAAGTAATGTGCTTGCCTTCCAGAACATGTACTTCTGAAAGTCCTTCAAAAAGTGAATCGGTTCTCTCCTTTCAGAAAATCTTCATGCAAAGAACAGCTTCATTTGCGTGTCATAATCATAAATTAAATAAAATAAGCCAGCCGCAAAGGCTAGATAAATATTAGGTTTGGACATGTTGCTATACTATTTAGAGAGCCACAGAGACCAACACACAGCACTCTCACATACACACACAAGCCTTTCCACTAGTTAGAAAGGATTTTCTCCTGCAAAAGAGGATTTTAGAAAGAACAACGTTCAGACAAGAGGAAAGGGGAGTTAAAACCCAGCCTCCTATATGCTAATAAATAAACTGCTCTATTGCAAGATTCAGATCAAAGGTTTAAAAAGGCAAAATTATGCTACTATTAGAGAATATCAAAATATTACTGTTATCATCACAAGTGGCATATATGCAAAATGCAGTTGCACAATAATGCCTAGGCAGATAGAGAGCAACACTAAGTCTGCCGACTAAAAGTGAACGATATACCCATTTTAGTTTTCTGTCTAGTCTTTTGGCATCTTTGCATATGGTGCAAAAGCAGAAGCTACCAAAGAATATCACGTCCCGTATAGAATATTAAATAATTTCTCCAGATAAGACTGGTGCAACGCTAGCTAATTTTAAATCTGCTATGAGTAACACAGTCAAACCTAGTTAGTATGCAAGAAACTTATCTCTTAACACAGAATGCAAAGTTATGATGCAACAGCATGAACAATCCCTGGTTGTCCAGTTTTCAGTATAAAGGTAGTGCATAGATCCAAGTTTCTGTTTCAGTTTGCTGAACAGAGAAGGAGCTCCCATTTCACTTCTGCTGGGCAGCCTGGAAAGCTTTCAGTTCCAGCTGGTACCACTCCGGTGCTTCTGGCCCGTTTTGCCCAACGGGGTTGTGATCGTATCCGTAAGCCACTGTTAATTCTTCATCCTTCTCCACAGCCCTGATGGTACGGATACACTTGATAGGCCCAAAACGAGGGTGAACAAACCTAGACAAAGAATAAAACACCTTTGCTAGGCTTAGCTGTAATTCACAGACACTGTTAGCCCCTTTTATAGTTTCAGAAGTCACTCACAGTTCAGAATAATATGACACACTCTGGTATCAGATGAGTAGATTGCTTTGAGTCAACCTTATAAAGACTTAAGTAATAAGGGCAAAAATATTGATATATTAAAGCAGCTTTGTGTATCTCTATTATTTGAAGTTTTTCAATGGTCCTTGTTTGTAATTGCTTGTTTGTAATAAATAAGTAAAAGTTAATCACTGCCACATGCCTTGGGCTTGCACGACAGGAAAACAGTATAGATTATGAGAGTCTGGAGAGAATGGAAAATTGCTCATCTTAATTTCCTCAATACAGGTTACCTACCAAACAATCATAACTTCCGTACATCTTCTCCCAGGGTCCCACAGTAAAGGGAACTGACTTATTTAATGAAGGAAAACTATTTTCTACATATATATCTCCACAGGTCTGTTCATTTATAGGTTGGTATGAAAATATTTATACTCTCAAGCATATGTATACATCAAAAGTTTCATAGTGCTCTGCATGAACTGTAGAGCAGCAAGATGCTTATTTTTTTAATTTCAGAAATGACAGCACATTTGATGGTGCTGGTCAAGCACCTGTAGTTCAGCAAATATGGTGCAGTCCTCGCCAAGTTAGGACTTAGAGAGCTGTGCTTATGCACTTTAGAATCAAGAGGCAGCTCCTAAAGTTCATGACAAAATTAACACAGTGGCAAACTTCAAGATACTCCAGGGTGTAAGTCCCAAGAGACATCAAGCACCCGCAATGCCAGCTGGTTTCCAACTCGGTCCAGATGAGCAGGAACTCCTTCAGCGCCTGGACCCCTTATTCCCAGCCCCACTGGCTGCTCCTCGTTCAGCTGCCCAGAAACACCCCGTGAGCCCGGGCTGCAGCTCCCATTCCGAAACACGGACTCTACTTACGGGTCATAGATGCAGTTAGGAGTGAAAGAATGGTTGGCCTTATGCCCCAGCGAGGCACAGTACTTAGCGGCGTGGTTGTAGGGCTCTGGCACGTCTATGACCGTTTCGTCATCCAGGGATATTGTATTTCCATTGAGGGCCCAGTCTCTGCTGTCTACCTAGTTTGCAAGGCAAAAATCCAGTATGTGTGTGGAGGGGTCAACTTTGCCAGCAGTTTGAAAGCAAACATTCAAATATATGCAACTAAAGCTTTTTGTGTAAGTCATTAAAGAAAAAAACACCACCACTTTTTTTCTATATACATAGGTGAGCATGCACGTTTTTTCAATTAAACTCCATCATATTAAATCTTAAGTGTGGGAAGGGGGTGGGTGTAAAATCCTACTATAAGAAGTAGTTTTCAGAAGGAGCAATGAAAATTCAGACTGACTTTTTTCTCTCCTTTACCTCCTGGTGTGTAATTCGCACTCCGTTGTAAAAGGACATAACTGTACTGGCTTCTGCTGCTATTTTCGAAAATAATCCTTCTCCAGCACTGGAAATAAGAGAGACATCAACATAGACCCTACAGGGGGAAAAGGGCATGGAATTAGTGACTGGCTACAGTTTTCATGTTCAAGAAGTATTATCACAACACTACTGGCATAAAGACTAATACTTCAATATAATAATAAAACTAATAATAATAATTCAAAACCTCCAAATGCAACTCCTTCTCCTTCCTCTCTTCCATACATTCTCTCTATTTTGGCAAAATGGAGATTTGGTGGGAAGTGGGGGCTGACTTTATCTATTAGTTTGAAATTTTTTTTTAAAGTGCCAATCTACTATTACTCCTCAATGATGGCTTCAACTCAGGAACACCCTCAATAATATACCAGAATCCCAGAGGAGGTCCCCACTAAGCTGAGGTTGCTGGTGCATATATGCACAGATTATTACTCCACTCCACTGAGCAAGAGTTTTCAAGGTGAAGCCCTAGACCTTCGAGCACTTGATGCAAATGAATGCCATTTTACTAATCACTTACTTAGATATTTGAGAGTATCAGAAAAGGACTACAATCGGACATCTATAGACAAGGCCTCTTAAAAGTCTAGGCAAAAGTGTAATTGTGGAATAGCCATGGAAGAGATATCACTGACTGACTACGGCAAGAAGACCATGGCTGAGCAACGTGTTTTGACATTACAGGCTTGTCACAAACAGTATTTCACTTTCCTCTAGCTCGATGATTTACTCTTGCCACTTTGCTACATCTGTAGGGAGAGGAGAAAACTTTGTAAACACATGCCATCCAGTGAGACACACTGAAGACAGCACACTGCAACCTGAAGCTAGTTACACATCTAGAAAACAGGGAACAACGTACTTTTTTGCTCAGAACGTTGTAGGTGTGGGCTATTAGTGGAGTCCAGGACTTGACTGAACATCTTTGAAATGCTAAGATTAAACCACCCTAGTTTAATCTCTTAAAAAGTATTGCTGTGTTCTATCCACTAGAGTGCAATTTTATTATGCGAGTCAGAAAGAAATTCAACCAAGTCAAACGCTGACTGATGGGCAGTAATGGGTTCCACTTCACAAACCCTTACACATGGGCTTTTTAAAATTTTGAATGAGAAAATTAGGCCCTAAATATGTAATGGCAAAGAAATAGGGACAGTATCGAAAGAGGGAAGAAGAAAAAAAGCCTACCTCTCTGACTCGTAAGGATCAGGAAGAAGTGCATTTGTAGAAATGCAGGATGAAGTAGATTTGTCAAAACTGTATATTGGGCCTAAAAAAACAGAAATCAACAAAGGAAATAAACTAATTGGCAGTACTGAAAGCACGCAACCCTTAACTTAATCAAGACATTCAAAAATTAAATTTTAATGACTGCAAGAAATAAATGTTATGCTTCCAAAAAAAGGTATGAAACAGAACCGCACCTGTAAAAGGTCTTCAGTGAGATACTGTTCCTTGATTATTTTTTCCCCTCAACATACTATAGTAGCAGTATTATCACAAAAAGGTGACATATATGTTCTTCAAACTACCACCTTTTAAAGGAGGACTGGACAGTCTTTCAAACTGACCTTCCCAGAGTCTCTAATTAAAATTAAAAAGTAAAGCAAAATTTAAAAGTATATATTCAATAACACATTAATTGTAAAAAATCTTGGACTATTTCAAATATGAAATGTTTTCTAGTCCAAATGCTGAAGAGACTTCAGCCAGAAGATAATGTTCAGTAATCACAAAGTACGCTTGCTACAATCATTTATTTCCTGCCATTAATAGGCAACTCAGCGGTACAGCTCTAACCATATCCTTACATCCCGCTACAATCAACTGCCACAGGACTATCTAGGAGATAGGTTAAGATGCAGGTGGAAATAAGATGGGAAAAACCCCCAAAACACAGTATTACAAAGTGTGATAAAAGGCCATTGTGCCTGGTGTCCAAGATCTGTTCTGGCTGAAAGCAGCTTCCCCCAGAGTGTAATTCAATCCTATTTACAAAAGACAGCTGTACTCTCTCAGAAGCTATCTTTTAAGTTAAATTTTGAATTGCTATCACAACTGACAGATTTAAAAAATAAAAAGTTAAATGCATTTACTTCTCAACACCTTTTCACTGAGTTTTATGTTCTTATTTCATATCGAGTGAGATAATCTTTACTGGCAAAACAGTAAATGTGTTAGCATAGTCCCTGTTTATTGCTCATGGCCCTGCTTGCAGCTTACGCCACTCACCTCCAAAATATCATATATATCTCGGAGCAACAAAACTACTCCAGAACTACGGGCCCAAGCCACCACCGCCCTGGAGGAGGAGCACCGGCTACATGGGTCAAAGGCAGCACCCTGACCCTAACCACTTCATTGCCACTTTCTATCAGCAGGACTAGGCAGACTGAAGGGTGCTGGTGAATCTGACGGTCACACAACAACTGAATCTAGTTCACTAATTCCAATCCCTGTGTCCTTTCAGCCCCATAACACAGATGCCAGAATATTCACAGTGCTAACATTCACTTGCACAAACCCAACTGACAGAGCTACAACCAAACCACGGCCCCCCTCTCCACTTTTAGTTATTTTACTAACAAAACAAAGCCTGTAACTGTGTCAGCATTAACGTGGTTAAGCAGGTTCTCATGCTGGCACAGATGGCAACGGTGTGTGCGACAAGCAGGACTGCGCCCATGAGCACGCGAGAGAAGGGTTATGAAACGCAATTTAGCAGCACCACCGCATGGATCACCTCCCGTTTGTTCCCAGGGCAAAGGAATCGTTCCACGTGCCTTTCTGTCCAACTTTATGATTTAGAAAAAGTGCTCCTCACTATTAGACTTATTCTCTCATCACAGTCAGCCTTTAGAGTCTCTAAAGGCAAACAGCATAGAAACTGAGCTGTTTGCAGCGAAGGGCTGGTAGTGAGAATACAAGTTTCTGTATTAGCTGAACTTACTGCCTGGTACTACTTCAAACTGAGGTTTCCCATCCTCTACAGATGTCAGAGTTGCCAGTTTTGCTTCTATCATTTCTCCATCTATGAACCTTCCAGAATATGCAGTCTTTCCATCAGGGTACACATAGGCTATTTTCTCTCCAGTCATCTCCCCTTCTTCATTCACTTCTCCCACAAGGCTGCCTCCATCCTGAAAGCACAGGCAAGAAAGAAAAGGCAGAGCATTTAGTTACACTTTACTATCTTCAGTAAATCAAAAAGATTTTCCCCAACCTTTTAAAGAAGCAATCTAAGCTACAGTAAGTTCAGATGTGAGCTCATGAAGAAGCTGGGTGAAGTCATTCCAGTCAGGGTAAAACTGATAAAAGAAATGAACGGGGTTTTCTACATTGTTTGAAACAGGCAAAACCCAAGGTCTTTCCTTCCATGTGACACAAATACTGAGTTTCAATTGGCAAAATTTTTATGTGAACCGTCTGCGAACCAAGGCCCAAAGCCACACACAAACTTTGTCTGAGTTTTCTTAGTATGATACTGTGCTGGAGGAAAGAAAAAACTAAAATGCTGCCTTGTTCACTGCTAATTCATGGTACATCAAAAGACTTGAGCCTACTAGGAAAAGAAAAAAAAAAAAAAAGGAAAAAGATTTGCTGGATGACTGGGAAGTTTCTCCATCGCCAGCACCTCCACAATGTCAGGTGGTACTCGATGAGAACAACTCTTTGCGGAAAGCCATCATCAGCAACACTTTTCCTCTCTAAGCATTACACATTTTAGCCCTGGGCTTTGCCATCTGTGATTTGCCTGCAACTCCGGTTAGGTCTATTTACAGAATTGCAGAATGAGATGCATAGATTAGCACAGGTCTAACGACTTCAGGTGTTTATTTCAAAAAGGACAAGGAAACATCTTCAAATAATGCCCTGGAGCAAAAACAGCAGGTGTGATGTGGAAACAGACTGATTTAGATCAAGATCGCTACGCATAGACTCTATTTCAGAGTGGCACCATTTTGTTCAGCTGCAGGGATGAAAGAGCTTCAAACATACCATAGTAAGGAACAGTGAATCTTCAGTTTGGGTAAAAATTTGTGCACATAGTATCATGCACAGAACCATGCATAAATAATTGTTTCCATGGCAAAGGTTTTTTTGAAACACCTTGCATCCTTTAGTCTGGCACGATGATAATGATAAACAACCTCTAAATATCCACATATCCAGAAGGTACAGCAACACTTTGTCAGCTGGAAGATGAAACAGGAGACATATGACCTGAAGGGTCAGCTGTGTGTATTTTACGCGTGAATACTGAGAAACTGCTACTTGTTTGGCAGCGTACACCAAGCATTTGTTGATTCTAACACACAGGCTTAACGGCAATAGTGAAAACCAGTAAATAAAATGAACTGCCAATGGCAAGCATTTGAAACGAATCTGCAACTAAAGTATGTGCAATATGTAGCACAGAAATAGATTGGGTTTTGACCAGCAGCTTAATTACATGCAGATGTTTCCTCCTCCTCAGCACAAGGTAAAGATTGAAAGGTTCAAGTCTAGAGTGTTGTGTAAGGCTGAACAGGAATTAAAATTAAAAAAAAAAAGTTACATCTGATTTGTTGGGGGAAGCCAGACTTCACAACATACCCTGCAGGAGTGGACAAAGTCTCCCCTCCTAGTTAAATAACAGCAGCAGGTTGCAATAGCTTGCATGGCTCCCACGCTCCTCACCTGCAGTCAGCACTGCAAAGTGGCAAAATCACCGGCCTAGCCTTCCCAAGGAGATACACATAAATGCACTTCCAAGGGGCTGGGTTCCCTGGAAGATGAAAATAGTGGAGGCATCTCACAGCCTTGCTGAATCTTGTCTACTGGGCAAACATTCAACACGGAAAAGGTTTAACTGTATGCTGGATTATCCAAAATCAGAATGCACAGAACTTCCGCCCCAATTTTTGTGTGTTGACTTTTGGATAGCTGGGTCATGGTGGATATTTGTTTCAGCTGGGGAGAAAAGATAGATACATAATGGTGCTATTCTGCAATGAAGAGAGCAGGTGGTCAGGCTTACCGGGTAATAAATCCAACAAACTCCATGTCGAATGTTGTCTTTATACTGCCCTTTGAATATCAGCCGCCCGTCACTGTCATACTCCTGGGCTGGTCCATTCAGCTCTCCATCCACGTACGTGCCATGAAGGACCACTCCATCCTCATAAGTGTAGATTCCCTGGCCTTGCAGGGCGTCATCAACGTAGTACCCTTCCAAGGTGCTGGTAAAGAGAGAAAGAAAACAGCAGTGGAAGACTTTGCACCTCTCTAAGCGGTGAACCCAAAGCTTCGACACCAGCACGACCCTGTTCCTCTCCTCGTCATTCTACATATTACTGGTACAGAGAGGCTGAGGCGAAACCTTCAGGAAAGTCAGGTCCTAGGAGGAGGTAACTGTTGACGCCTGGTTTGCTATTGCCGAGTACTCTACAACCCTCCCCAAAACGCACACCACCACTGCAACAATCACAGCTTTTCTTCATTTTCCCAGTGGCCTCGCTCCCAGAGCCCAGGCTGTCGCGGGGCAGAGCTATGCGCAGGTGGACTGAGAGTTTGCCGAAAGGCTCGGCGGCGGCTGCCGGGGCTCTCTCGCTGGGACAACGCTTCCAGCATCTCTCCTCCATCCCCGCCAGGCATCACCATCCCCCACGTCTGAAACTCTGATGCATTTGCCAGTTTCAATCAAATTGGAGGGGGACAAGGGGAAGGGGAGTAGGAAGCTAAACCTGACTTCTCTGGAAGGCCAAGATGAAAAACAGACACTTTTTTCTCCGGACCTCCAAAGGCAGAGAACAACTTACGCTGTCCTTTCACCGGGGTGCGCTGCATGGGCACAGCATTATTCATCTAAATTACATTGCTGAGC